GACTAATGGAAGTTGAAATGAAAAAAAATATAAGTTTTCTTTCTATCTCTTGATCTCCAAAAATACAATTAATATCACATAATGTGCCCGTCTATATCAAATTTGTAAGCACGTTCAACATTGGTCGATTTTGAAAAACATATAAGGATATATTCCGTAGATAAGTTTATATTTTAAATCTTCATGAAATATTAAAGAATTATAAATAAATAAGAAAGTTTTATTATTGTCCTAATATTGATAGATAAAGTAGTATACGAATACTATTTATAATTTAATAATAATATAAATTATTTATAATTTAATATAATTTAATTTAATATTCGAATAATATTTTGATTAAGCGTAATTTTTAACTAATGAATTATAGAATTTATATTATTTGTCATAACCAATGCACTGCATAGTTATAATAAAATTGTTAATAATTTAAAATATTAAAATTATATATAATAAAATATATAAAATATTGTTAGTTAAAATTTATACATAAAACTATGTATTAATAATTTTAAAATTTTAACTTATTATATATTGAAAAAAGTTGTGATAAATAAGTAAAACATGGATAGAGTTCTTTCTGATATAAAACAATTTCGGTTACTTCGTTTATAGTTACTAGCTTCACATTTCGGTATTGAAAGTTTGGGTTGACAACACTGTAATAGGTTTCAAAATCATGTTGCTAGTTTATTCACTAGTTCTCCAACTCACCGTTGTCTAAATGTAGAGTGCGCTAAAAAATCATGATTTTTTTACTATGTCGGTATTTCAGATCACAGACCACGAAACCCTGTAAGATCATTGACTAATTAAGATAAACCAGACATTAAATAAGATTTCGTGTCTCAGGATCTGAAATACCAACCAAAAAAAAAAATCACTGATTTTTTAGCGTCTTCTACGCTTAAACAACGGTAAATTAGAAAACTACGTCAAACAAAACGATACAGTTGGCTCAAGAAAATAATATCCATTATAGTGTTCTTAATTGTATTGTATAAATA